CCAACACCACAACCCATACCAAACACCACAACCCCATACCAACACCACCAACCCCATACCAACACCACCAACCCCATACCAACACCACCAACCCCATACCATACCCAAATACCCATACCAATACCACAATTACCCATTCCAATACCAACACGACCAATGCCAGCACAATCAACCCCATACCAATACCAATACCACCAACCCTATACCAATACCACCAACCCCATACCAACCCCATACAATACCACCAATCCCATACCAATACCCGAAATACCCATACCAACACCCCAAATACCCATGCCACCCCCAGGGAACTGACCCGGAGGCCCCACCTGGCAGCCACCCCGAGAGACGAGGAGTTGGCGCGGATGATCCGAGACCGGTTCGAGGCCTCAGGGTTCGACACCGCGGAGTTGGAGCCCTACGAGATCCTGCTGTCGCGTCCGAACCACACGAATCCGAATCTGGTAAGGTGTTGTTTTTTTTTTTTTGGGGGGGTGGGTGGGTGTGGGTGGGGGGGGGGGAGGGAGGAGGGGGGGGAGGAGGGAGGAGGGGGAGGGGATGGGTAGGGTGGGTATGGGTAGGGTGGGTATGGTTGGGTGTGGTTAGGGTGGGTATGGGATGGGTAGGGAGAGTGTGGAGGGGGAGGGTATGGGGAGGAGGGGTATTAAGGAGGTGGGAGAGGGGGGTGGTAAAGAGTAGGGTTGAGGAGAGTGTGTATAAAATGAGGTGTTATTTATATATCTATTTATTTATGTATTTACTTATCTCTGATAATTCGTTTGTTAATTTATATATTTTGAATGGGGAGGTGTGTGTGTGTGCGTATGTATGTGTGTTTGTGTGCGTGCGTGTGCGTGTGCATGCATGCATGTATGTATGTATGTATGTATGTATGTATGTATGTATGTGTGTATGTATGTATGTATGTATGTGTGTGTGTGTGTGTGAGGAATTTGATGAGATTAACTTGGGAGGGAAATGATAAGCGTGATATTATTATTAATAATGGTATCAACTGTTGCTACAATGATACCTATTACTCATATTGTTGTTGCAGCCATCAACACTCCTGCTACTATTCTTGCTAAATTTACTACTAATGAAGATAATTTTACAAACATTACTGCTATTAATGTTATTGCTATTATGACTAGTATCAAATAATATTACTATTATTACTACTATGGGTACTGTTAAAGGTACTATTGCAACCATAATGATAATAGTTATAACAATGATAGTGGGAATACTACTACTTATGATGCTGATGATGCTGATGATGATAATGATGATGATAATGATGATAGTAATGATGATGATGACAGCAATAATACTAATGATGATATTGATAATGGTAATAGTAATGATATTAATGTTAATATTAATGATGATGATAATGATGATAATAATGATGATGATATTGATAATAATAATGATAATGATATCATTATTATTACTATCATTATTGTCGTTATCATAATGAACAATAGTGATGATGATAATGTTAATAATGATATTAGCAATAATAATGAAAAATAGTAAATCATAGACTTACTACCCCCTACTACTAATGATAATGATAATAATGATAATACTGATAATGACATCAAAGGCACCACAAGGAATCAGCTGAGATTAGCCTGCTTGCCATTACGCGTTTTATGATTTCGTCTCGTTTACAACATGCTCTCATAAACCCAGGCTTATCAGGTTTTACTGTGGCTGTAATGTCGCGTGGTTTAACAGCCTTTTAGATGTCTCTCGTGGGAGGCTGTGCGGGCGCGTCATAGGCTGCGCACACGCACACGCACGCACACGCACACGCACACGCACACGCACACGCACACGCACGCACACGCACACGCACACGCACACGCACACGCACACGCACACGCACACACACACACACACGCACACACATGATGAGAAAAAAAGGATAAGGAACGGAAAATTTCGTTCAAGACAAATAAAATCCCTTCCTGATAATGAGAGAAGATAAGATAATTCAGTAAGTTGAATATGGATACATAAGTGCAGAAAAAAAAATATATATATGTATATACATATATATATATATATATATATATATATATATTATATATTATATATATATGTTGTGTGTGTGTGTGTGTGTGTGTGTGTGTGTGTTGTGTTGTGTGTGTGTGTGTGTGTGTGTGTGTGTGTGTGTGTGTGTGTGTGTGTGTGTGTGAACACAAGCACAAACACAATAACGTGTGCACAAAAAGAAAATGAAACTAGCCGAAATGGATCCATTTCGGTTTTTGTCTGATGAGGAACTCGTGAAGAGCTCGAAACGTCACGATTATTTTCATTTCTCATTGTGGCTAGTTTCATTTTCATATATATATATATATATAATATATATATATATAATATTTATATATATATAATATATATTATATATAAAAAAAAACTGTAAATTAAAGTAGATATATACCAAGAGAAGAACTAAACGCATTTCCCCCCTCCCCCTTTCCTCTCCCCCCCTTCCCCCCGACAGATCACCCTCGCCGACGGCAGCGGGGACATTGTGTTCACGAGCGCCTACAAGGAGATCCCGCTGCACGAGGACGACGAGGACCCCGACTTCGTTCATTCGTTCAACGCCTACACGCCCGCGGGTGAGTGGGGGGGAGGGGGAGGGGAGTGGGGTGGGTATGGGTGGGTGTTGGGGGAAGGGTGGGGGTGTGGGGTGGGGTGGAGGGTGGGGTGGGATGGATAGGGGGGAGGAGGTGGGGTGGGAGGAGGAGGAGGAGGGTGGGGGTGTGGGGTGGGAGGGGGGAGGGGAGGAGGAGGGTGGGGTGGGAGAGGAGGAGGGTGTGGGTGGGGTGGAGGGGAGGAGGAGGTAGGGGTGGGACGGGAGGTGGGTGGGGTGGGAAGGGGTGTTCGCGCGTGTGTGTGTGTGTGTGGAAAGGGGGTTTTTGTGGGGGGGAGGGGGGGCGGGGGGGGTGTTTGTGTGTGCGTGGAGGGGGATGGGGATGGAGTGGGGTAATTTGTGTGTGTAGACAGGGGGTTTTGTGTGCGTGGAGGGTGGTAGTGTGTGTGTGTGTGGAGGTGGAGGGTTGTGTGTATACGTGTGTGTGTGTGAATGGGAAGGAAGTATCTTTGTATGTGTTGAGGGTGGATGGTTGTATTCGTGTATGTATGGAAGAGCGAATTATGTATTTTTATATGTATTTGTCTGCCTCCGTTTCTGTTCCTGAATCAGTCCATAAAAAAAAATCCACATCCTATTTTTTCCCTCTAAAGGTGACATCACAACTGACCCCGGCGTGGGCGTGGTCTACGTCAACTACGGGCGTGTGGAAGACTTTTACCAGTTGGAGAAGCTGGGCGTTAATGTCACAGGCCGGATTGTCATGGCTCGGTATGGCAAGATCTTCAGAGGAAATAAAGTACGGTGATATTGGTTATTGTTCTTTGCTGGTGTTGTTCTTGTTTCTTTGCCGTTGTTGTCTTTGTTTGGTCTGGAACTCTTCCCCTTCCCTCCCCCCTCCCCCCTCAAAAAATCCATTTTTGACCCTTAGAAAAAGATTATACCAAATTTCAATATGAGTTCTTGTTATTGTTCTAATGTTGTTGCTGTTGTCTTTGTTCTGAAAGTCTTCCCCTTCCCCCCCTTCCCCCTCCCCCTTCAAAAAATCCATTTTTAACCCTTAGAAAAATTTTGATTATACAAAATTTCAATGTGAGTTCTTGTTGTTATTGTTCTAATGTTGTTGTTGTTGTTGTTTGATCTAGAACCCCCTTCCCCCCAAAACAAACAATCAAACAAACTCAAAATCTACCTATTTTAACGTACCACCTCAGAAATTAAAATTTCACTGCACCCCCCCCCCAAAAAAAAAAAAATCCTGTTAAACCTTCCCCCCATACATAAAAAAACCCTCAAAATCCACTTTTTTTTAACCCACCACTTTAGAAATTAAATCTTCACCCCCCCTCAAAAAAAATCCTTTTAAACCTTCCCCCTGCGCCAAAAAAGCAAACAAACTCGAAATCCAAGTTTTTTTTTTAACCCATCATCTTAGAAATTAAATCTTCACCCCCCAAAGAAAAAAAATCCTTTTAAACCCCCACCCCCTGAAAAAAAACTTCTCTCTCCCCCAAAAATCCAAAAAGTAAAAAAAAAAGAATCCAAAATCCAAAAAGTAAAAAAAAAAAAAAAACATTAAAGAAGTAAAAAAAAAAAAAAAAAAAAAAAAATCCCCCCCCCAAAAAAAAAAAAAAAAAAAACTCACCTCACGCCCACCCACAGATCCAGCACGCCCAAGACCGGAATGCTGTGGGCGTCATCCTCTTCTCAGACCCACTGGACGTGGCTCTTGAAGGGGTCTCAGAAGAGGCCGTGTACCCCAACAAGGGCTGGCTTCCGGGCACAGGCATGCAGCGGGGCACGACCTTCATGGGCGACGGTGACCCCCTGACCCCTGGCTGGCCGGCGACAGGTAAGGTCAAGTGAGGTCATCTTTGGTGTAGTCGTAGTTTTATTATTTTTGGTTTTATTTGTGTTATTATTGTTTTTGACTTTTTTGTGTGATGTTAATGGTGATGGTGATAATGACAATCAGGATGATGATGATGATGATGATAATGATAATGATAATGATAATGATAATGATAATGATAATGATAATGATAATGATAATGATAATGATATGATAATGATAATGATAATAATGATATGATAATGATAATGATAATGATAATGATAATGATAATGATAATGATAATGATAATGATAATGATAATGATAATGATAATGATAATGATAATGATAATGATAATGATAATGATAATGATAATGATAATGATATGATATATATGATGATAATGATAATAATAATGATGATGACAATGATAATGATAATGATAATGATAATGATAATGATAATGATAACGACAATGCACTGATAATGATAATAGTAATGATGATATTAATAATAACAAAAATGATATTGACAATGGTAGTAATAGTAATAATGAAGATGATGATGATGATCATTAAATGACGATTATAATGATGATGATAATAATGATTATGGTAATGATGATAATGGTAGTAATAACAATAATAATAAAAATAATAATGATAGTAATAATAATAATAATCATAATAATAATAATAATAATAATAATAATAATAATAATAATAATAATGATAATAATAATGATAATGATAATGATAATGTTAATGATAATAATAATAAAAATAATAATGATAGTACTGGCAACAACAATTATTATCATATTTTTTACATTATCATTACAGTAATAATGATTATTATTCTTATTAGAAGTATTATCATTATCATACTTTTATGTTTTGTATTATCACCCCATCTTGACTAATTAAAAATCGCCATTTTTTCTTAATTAAGGGCCCAAAAGTGATTTTTTTGTCTAATTAGGGTCAAAAAAGTATTTTTCCTTATTAGAGGTTAAGAAAATTAGGCACATTCTTTTAATACAACAAAAAAGAGAGAATGAGACTTTCAAAGGATTATTAAAAAGACAAGGAAAATTTTGCTTTAATATATTTTTCTTAAATGAATAGATTAATACATATATCCACTCCTAATACGACCATGTATCATGCCACTGATAATCTCAGACCTAATCTCACAATAAAACACACGATCCTTACCCTACCACTTAAACCTTTTTAAAATGACAAAAATCTGTTTCCATTCACGTTCAGAACATGCTTACCGTGTTGACAAGGAGGACGCGGGTCTGGCCAAAATTCCCTGCCAGCCAATTGGATACAACGATGCCAAAGTGATCCTGGAGTAAGTAGGGATCGTTCGTATAAAGATAAAGGGGTATATTTACGTATAAGCGAGGGGGAGGGAGGGAGAGAGGGGAGAGTGGGAGTGGGGAGAATGGGAGTGGGGAGAGAGGGAGAGGGAGGGAGAGGGAGAGGGGAGAGGGGAGAGGGGGAGAGGGAGAGGGAGTGGGAGTGGGGGGAGGGGAGGGGGAGAGGGGAGAGGGAGGGAGTGGGAGGGGGTGAGAGGGAGAGGGGGAGAGGGGAGAGAGGGGGAGAGGGGGAGAGGGGAAGAGAGTTTTGAGTTCTTGCGTTTGAGGGATTGAGTATATAAAGATAAAAGGATGTTTGTTTATGTCTGTATTTTGAGATATTGTATTAGAGGGATTGTATGTATAAAGATGTGAGATATTGAGGTATTTAGGCTTTTATGGTAGAGGATAAAAGAACTTTTGTGCATTATTGAATGATTTGTGTGTTTAATGAAATATTTTAAGATAGTGTGATAGAAGGATAGTGTATATATTTAGATATGAAATAATGAAATGTGTGCTATTAATGGAATGTTAGCATTATTTGTTTTACAGAGATTGCACGTATAAAGATAAAGGGATTTTTACATATTGTAGAGATATGTGTTTTATAATTGAACTATTTTGATTTCTGTATCAAAATTATCTTTATATACTGATAAAAGGATTTTCATGCGTCACGGGAGAATTGTGTGTTAATAAAATATTATGGGATTTTGTAGCGTAGGAAGGATAAAAGGAATATCAAGTTTTTTTTTTTTTTAATGAAATGTGTGTATTGTACAGCACAGGGATTAAAGTATTTTTCAATGCATTACTGAGTGTATTTTTCAGTGAAAATATTTTAGGATTTTGTGGTGAAAAGATTATAAAAAACATGGCAAATGGATGTGTTTATTAGAATATTATAGATTCCTGTGGTAGAGGAATTGTGTGGATTAGGATAAAGGAATATTTATACATGGGAGAGATTTTTTTGTTTTTGATTAGATATTTTGAGCCATTCTGGTTAATTGATTGTATATGATTGGATAAGAGGTTAATTGTTCATTTCTGAGATGTATGTTTAATGTATTTTTAGTGTTTTTTTTATATCTTTCGTCATTTTTCCAATCAGCCTTTTTTCTTATCTCTCTTTCCTTCTCCCTCTTCGTCCTCGCAAAATTCTTAATTTCTTACATGTCATCTCAAACCTTGCCTCACATATCACTTCAAGTCTTAATTCTCGTCTCACCTCACACTACATATCACCTTAAACCCCGCTTCAGACTCCTCACCTCACCTCCACTCATCTCAGCCTCACCTCATTTCAAACTCATCACACTTTAACCTCATCTCGCACCCCACCACACACCCAGCTCATCTCACCTCATACCCCACTCACTTCACCTAACAGTTCATTTCCCTCCTCATCTTACACCCCCTCATCTCTACCTCACCTCACACCCTCTCACCCTCACTCCTCATCTCTCACCCTCACCTCACACCGTCTCCTCATCTCACCCTTAATTTTCCTCTTCATATCACGCCCTCACCCACGCTCACTGGCCCCCAGCCACATCTGACGGGACTCCTCCCTCTCAACCTCACTTTTCACTCCCCCCATCACACGCCTCCTATCCATCGTCAAATCTCACTCACCCTATACGTCCACCTCAGAATCTCACACCATCGCCCTCA